GTGGGAGAATTACTGGGAAGGTAGGAATGAAATTTCTGCAGCTCATGGCTTTTCAAGGAAATGTCAGACTTTAAACAAAGCCCAGTAACTTTGTTCCTGAATGGATGCTGTCAAAAATAGCTCCTCTTTTTTGATCAGCTCTTCCTCATTCCCTCCCGCTCTGGTTCTCGATGAATGATGCAGGATCTGTATATAAGCTATCTGTGCAATGGTTGGCTCTCTCAGGTCCCAGATGACGCAAATTCAGCTTTCACTGCACATCCTCAGCTCAAACTGGGGCACTGTTCAGCAGTACTGTTAGTGTTAACCTTGCGCTGTCAGCCTGGTTACTGAAGAAATGAACGCTGCCCTGTTTCTATGCATAGTTGTGAAGCTGGACCAAGGCGGGGTACCCAGTATGTCAGGACTCTATCAGGTGTACTTGAGTGACAACTGACCATCGCTGTGAAGAGGCTGTTCCTTGGGTATTGCTTACAAAGCAGATACTACAGTAGATTAGGGGGGTGGGGTAGCTCCATCTATGTCAGTTTAGGAATTTAAATCATTATATTGGAATAATTTCTTTTGGACATCTGTTTTTACAGCAGCAGACTGGGAACTCATTTCAATTTACAGCTATTAGGCAAATATTTAGCCTTGTGCTTGAATTTTATTAAACTGATTCAGACCACCCATTTATTTCTGCTGCCTCACTCTCTGCCAGAGGTTTTTTAGAGTGGCCAGCCCTATTAGCATTTAAGTGGCGATCAGATAAATTAGCATTATTGGAAATCAGAAATGCTAACTCTGTACTCTGTGTCTGTGGCCAACTCAGTGGAGACCCCTCACCCCTGATGGTGACAGGCAATAATTTATTTCAGCATGCTTAGCGACAATGCTGGTGGTGTTTTGCATTGCTCACGCTGTACCACACCAGAGCACAACAGGTACCTGTTTGTAGTGATGTACTAGTAGCAACAATAGCAGCACCCTGCTACCATGTTGTTAAGTGCATTGCTGCTGCTAGAAGAATAATCTAGTTCATGGCAGGGAAAAGGCTCCTGAGGAAATGTGCAATTAGGGTACATGAAGCATCCCCTGTACCTACTTCAAGTACTGTTGGAATCCTTCCCTCCATTTTCCCTGTCTGTGCAGCTGGGAAGGTGTGGATAAGGAAGGAAAGGGAGGTTTTGACGTTTAAGAAAACCAGCACAATGCAATGAGTGATATTTTGACATCTCCCAGAATGAATAGCACTGCTGGATTGATCCCAGTAAGGATAAGTGGTCTTCAGTCAAATATTTCATTCCCAACAATGTATTTCAGTCCTAGCTTAAGGCTCCCTGGGGTGCCACCGTATGCCCTACCCGCACCCAGCTCTGCAGAGTCCCTCCATCCTGCTCTGTAGGCACTCTCTGGTATTTCAGCTCTTGCCACCATGGCCCCGCATCGCTAATTCACAGAAACTCACGTAACTTTCTTTAGACATAGGCTTTGAATTACAGATATCAGTGTCAGATTGTCATGTAATTGAGGGAGTAGGAGAGGGAGTTTTGACACGTCTTAACTGCTGAGATCTGTAGATGGAAGGGCTGGGTTGATGGGGCTTTGATTGCTTTCTGAAATGGCTAGCTACAGACCAACACAGAGCAGTGCTGAGTCACCTCTGCAGTCACACATCACCCCTCTAAACCTGGCTCCAAACAAATAAAGCCACCCACTGACATGCAGCCGTCTTGGAAGAGGGCTTCTTTTGTCCAAACAATTAATCATTAGAGTTTCTGGACTACTGACACAGACTGAGTCCATACCTTCTCTGGGGTCTTTAGCCTTTCCCACTGGGCCATCCCAAAGGACTCCTCCACGTTAGCAAGGTTCAGTTTGAGTTGCCCCACAATGCTGTGTCTGGAGAACTTGTCGCAGTTTCTCAGGGTGAGAGTCAGCGTCCCCTCTGGCATCTCCTCCTCCACTAATGGGAATCGCAGGACCTCCTCCCAGAGGGTGTGAAGCACCTTCTTCTTCAGCTCTGTCTGGGCCTCAGCAGTACCGGACCTGCTCACCAGTGTGCCCAGTATGTAGCAATGGCAGCCAGCATCTTGGTCCCCACTCATTCTGCCATGCATAGCTGGAAAAGAAAGATTGATTGTAAGGACCTCTCACAAAAGACAGCCCTGAAATATCTGTGGCTAAATTGCTTATTTCATGAGAGCCATAAAATAAAACAGCTGCATAGACGTTGACCCCTGTTCCTGTTTGCACGGGGCAGACTAAGCTGTGAGCCCATGCTGTGGTGTTTTGTCCTTCTGCCACTGCAGAAGGATTCTGTTAGTGTTTGGGAGAGCAACAGCTGAGTTCAAGGAAACATGCTCTGTTGAAAGATGCAGAGCAGCAATGAAATGAGACACAGCATGGCACAGGAATGGGCAGCTCTCATTTGCTTTTACCCTGGCACACAAAGCAAGCTTCTTACAAAGGCTTTAAAAGTAGGATGGTCAGTCACAGACATCAGAGATGGGAGAGACATCCCTCTTGGCACACACCCAGCCCTGCAGGCCAGTGTGGGATATGTCTGTGTTATTACATTCTGCTTGTCCAACCTCTGGTAAATGATTCCTTCAGAAGCCACCCCACAGCCTAAAAGACCTGTGTCAAGAGACACTAATCCCTAATTTTATATCCCTTTTATCTTGAAAAGCCTAGAGTGAGAATGGCATTTCACACTCTTCAGTTGCATCAACAGAATTGCACTGCCTTCTCCGCAGCAAGAAGAACACGCCTTCCTCTGAGGGGTCATGAAACAGTATGGCTTTGTGGGCAAAACTGAAGTCCTTGCTGCAGCCAGTCCAAGGACAGGTGCTCCTGAGCTTCCAGGTCCCATGGTTCACAGGGATCTCCTGGTTTCTTGGGGGAGCAGATCTGGGGAACAGAGCTGGATCCTGCCCCAGTGGCAGTCTTGCTGCTGGCAGGTGACCCACAGCAGCGGCTGCCGTTTAACACCCTTTCAATTTTTGCTTCAGAGGGTGTGATTTGATTAGGTTTCCACAGAGATCTGCACTGTGCATGAATTATTCAGTCAGCTTATTTTACTTTCCCAGAGGAACAGATGATGCTCATGCCCTGAGCAGAGAAGCTGTTACAGTTGTCAGTTCCCACTTCAGAGAGTGACACAAAGCCTGGCCGTCTGGCCAGGTGCAGCCAGAGGGACCTTCCTCAGTGGCCTGCAAGATAAGTCTGTTATCTCCGCCTCAGCCTTTAATTTGACTTGAGGAGGAGACAGTAGGGAGTGGGTCAAGTTGAAGAATTAAAGTTACAGAGAGGAAGGAGATAGCAAGCCCCCCCCCGCCCCCAAAGGAAAAAATAAAAAGAAGACATTGTTTTGTACCATGTCTGGGACTGGAGGAGCCCATCCTGGTTCCTGACTTCTGCTTTTGAGCTGTGCAAACAATTGTTCCCAAGCCATGCCTCGCACGCTCACTTCAAGCAGTGACATTGCCAGGTATTTCTATTCTGCAAGCCCAGAACCAGTGAAACATCCAGTGGTCCTGGGGACACATGTTGATTTTAAGGTAGGAGGGGAACTCTCTGTAAAATCAACAGGTGTCTTGTACCCTCCAGATGGAGAAACACCTGTGGAAGATCTCTGCCCCTTACCTTCCAGAAGGGCCACACGCAGCTCGGCTTTTTGTTGATCATACGCAAGGGAGTAGCGCAGCTCAGGGGCCTGGTTACAGCTGGCTGCCCTCTCGGGGTTCAAGTGCTCTGTGACACACACGTCCTTTACTACACCTGGAACTGAAATAACCCCTTTAGCAAGCAGGTCTTCACCTTCTGAGGAGAACAAATCCACCCTGTCTTGACTTGACTTTTCTAAATGTCTTACTATTCCTGCACCTTGTATGCAGGAATATAATTTATGATGTTCCTTCTTCCTCCATCACCATATCTCCTTATTGCTCTGTTTTCTCACACTTTCAGCTTTTTCTGCAGCACTTGGACAAGCCTTCTGCTCTCTACCACTTTGTGCTCTAAGATGGTTCACACACTTGCTCTTTCACCTTGTGCCTAGGCCAAGGTATCTAAACTACATTCATTACTTGTTATATTGTTTTAAATTGTTTTTAACACGCGTTGGTGAATTAAATCTTGTGTTCTTTGGCATGAGAACTTGAGACTGCTTTTGAGCTGCCATGCAACTCTGCATTAGTTCAGACCTCTCTAAACTTTTTTTAATTTTAACAATACAGTCTTTGTAATGCAGAAGACATCTATTTCCATAGCGCTTGACCAGGTTGAAGATAATGAGCTTGGGAAGCTGTAAGGCAGTTTCTCCATGTGTGATTTTGAAGTTGAGTACATATTTCATACTGAAATAAAGCAAGTTGCAAGATTAAAAGGGAAGCCACAGCTTTTTGTCATCAAAAGCTGTTATCTGCAAGGTCAGGTCTGATTCACACAGAAAACAATAGTGGGATCAGCACATTTTCTCCTAAAAATCTCAGCCACAGTCCAGATCAGTTCAATGTGGCACTGAAAGGAGAATGCAACAATTCTTGCTTTATTTCAGCAACACTTGAATTATGAAATCAGGCACAGCAGGAAGCAAACTTGCTTGTGCCATTAGCAGTGCAGAGAGGCTCTTACACTAACACACTTACATAAAGCTTTAGCCTACATGCAGCCATCATCCTTCAGCCTCTCCACCCTATAATCTTCTCTCTGACACCTAAGGATGTGGCTCAGACAGTCTCTTCCTCCAATGCAGCTGCTTCCCATGGTACTTTCTTTTCCGTATTCACAAGTCTCAGGGTGGAGGGGTTAATGTAGCAATTGTCCTCCCAGAAGGACAAAAATATAATCTCAAGCGATTTTAAAAAACTAAAAAGAGTTCTCTCAAAAAAACCATGACAGATGGCATTGTGTCTCTGGCAAATCTTCAGGAAGGTTTTATTAATGTGGTAACCATAAGAGTCAATTATCCTGTTAAAAGACAGCTGTGAAGGTAAAAATCGGTATGGAAGCAACACAGACATGCTGCCAGATGTATATAATTAACATTGTGTTTTCTCTTAGGCTCCAGGAATCTTATGTTCCAGGCTTTGGCATGTTACCCTTTGGGCTGGCTGGAAAACAAGAATTCTGTTTGGCAAAAATGTCTGAGGTGTCAGCCTTTGGTTTCACTGCACATTAAAACAAGCCAAGACCATATCACCAAACCGGTGGAAAAAAAGCAGCAGAGAAAATAAAGTAGAAGCTTGAAGCCCTGCTGCCAATGTCCCTGACAAGGACAGTTGCTGGATAGCTAGCATTTGTCCTGGAGAAGATACTCTGCCTAGTTTTGGCCAGGTATTTCACCCACACGCTGGCAACTGCTCTCAGTAAAACTACAGTAAATACATGTTTTTCTGCAAAATGTCTACTTCCAGTGAGCCAGATTCTTCAACACAAAAGATATTTAGGTAAAAAAAAATTACAGCCAGACACAGCTACAGCTTTGTTATCTGAATGTCCTGATGAGCTCCATTACTACTTTCTATTAAACACATGCATTGAAGACAGAACTCACTTACAATGCTCATGATAAGAGAGCAAAAAGCACCCTATGTCTTCATTGTCACGTTTATTTCTCTAACTACAGTCACATTATGCTTAGAAGTATTACAGATCTACACCCAGAAAAGCAATTGTTAGTCTGAAGACCAAATGCTCCTACCGTTTTGAGGGAGAACAAACAGCTCCTCGTTGACTTGTATCTTCATCCTGTTCTCATCCAAACCAGTATGTTTTCCAGTAGCTGGTTCTTCTGTTGTCTTCAGGGAGTACTGTGTGTAGTTAACAATTTCAGGTGAAGTTACTACTGGTTTGGGGCCATAAATGTTGGGAAACTTCAGGAGTGCTCGAGGCTGGACTGGCTCTGCAGTTTTCTTAACGTTGAACTGAAAATTAAAACCTTGTTTATTACTTTGCACTAATTAGACTAATTCTTCCAATTCTCTCAATGTTAAATGAGCTGAGACAAAGGGAGAAAAGACGGTGCCTCTGGTCATTCTTACCGTCAATTGTTTCTTAGCCTATAGAAACCACTGCCTGTATGTCCAGAGATTTTCTTGCCAAAGCCAATACCCTTCTACTTGGTGTAGGTCTTTCCAGATTTACTCCTCTACAGATGTTTGGTTGCAACAAGGAAAAGATATGTTCTTATTGTTTGATTTTTCCTCTGTTCCTGCACCAGTTAAACCTTTCATAAGTCTGTATTTTCCCATAGCACAGAAATCAACCATGAAGTTCATTTTGCTATGATTGAGAGATGGTATTTTTTACCCTGATGTTTGAAGTCAAATCCAAGATCAAAAGGCTATAGCCACCCACAGATTTCAGAACATTTTACATTAATATGTAGTAAGCATTAGCAAGGCAAAGGCATGGATCATACAGTCACTTGGAGCAAGTACGACCATGGTGTAATAAGACAAAGGAGAACTGGTTGAACAAATGAGCCCTGCAATGGCATACCGAGAGTAGTTGATTCAGTGGTCATCTCAGCCTCTTGGACTACCTCTTGACTCTTTGGACCAGAGCTCCACCTGACCCTCAGACACACATTTCCCCTTTATTATACTGGGATTGAAATTTGGATTTATGTCTGAGTTTGTTCTTAACATTTCAATTCCCTGCTGAATTGTGAACATGGAACGAGCAGAAGAACCTGAAATGTAATGCTCAGGCAGCCCAAGCAAAGGTTGTCACAAAGCCATTACTGTTATCCCAAAACAATGAAAAATATTTTAGTGGAATATAACAGTCCTCTTTTCCTTACATCCCAAGAATCCTCTCTGCTCACAACTGAAATAATTCCTGATTCATTTATATTTGGATAGGAAACGAAAAGAAAGGAACAGGAAAGAACAGGAAAGAACAAAAGCTGACTAGCAAATGACCCTGACCATTGCAACAGATTTTATTAATGTTTCCAAAATACGAAGGACAAAAAGCAGAAGTAAAACTGCCGTTTTGGTTGATTATTGTGCAGTGGGATTCTGTCCAACCCCGCTGCCTGCCAACCTATTCTGTGTTAAATATAGATCGAGGGTGAGCCAGAAAGTGTTCATAATTATAATTAAAGTTTTTCATTAGTCTTATTGTTTCCTATTAATAATGAATGTAGATCTTATGCCAGTATCGGACAGCAGTAGTGAGCATACCTGTGGGAGGTGCGCCCAGGTAGAGAAACAACCTATTCTGTGTTAAATATAGATCGAGGGTGAGCCAGAAAGTGTTCATAATTATAATTAAAGTTTTTCATTAGTCTTATTGTTTCCTATTAATAATGAATGTAGATCTTATGCCAGTATCGGACAGCAGTAGTGAGCATACCTGTGGGAGGTGCGCCCAGGTAGAGAAACTCCTCCACTTACTGACAGAGCTCTGGGAGGAGGTGAGTAGGTTGAGGAGTATCAGGGAGAACAAGAGAGCGATAGACTACTGGAATAGCACCCTACCTTCCCTGAGACAGGCCCAACAGGCAGACAGGACACATGATACGGAGGATTCCCTATCCTCTCTCTGTCTGGCTGAAAACAGTGACTTAAGGGATAGGGGACAATGGTGACAAGTTCCTGCCCGGTGCAGCAGGCATGTCTCCTCTGTGACCACCCCACCTTCCCAGGTGCCCTTGCATAATGGGTATAAGGCTCTGCAAGTGGAACCGAACAATAACAAGGATGCTGGTTTGTCTAGCTTGGAGGTGTCGCTGAGGTTCAGGTGGCCTACACCCTGCGTCAAAACTGCTTCCATAAAGAAAAAAAGATGTGTCATTGTCATAGGAGTCTCTCTTCTGAAGGAAACAGAAGGCCCAATATGCAGACTGGACGCACTTCTTAGGGAAGTCTGCTGCCTCCCTGGAGCCCGGGTTAAAGATATGAAGAGAAAGCTTCCTACCTTGGTACATCCCTCAGATTATTATGCATTATTGATTTTTCAGGTAGGCAGTGAAGAAGTTGCAACAAGAAGTCTGAGGGCAATCAAGAGAGACTTCAGGGCCTTGGGACGACTGGTTAAGGGATCAGGAGCACAAGTAGTATTATCCTCTATCCTTCCAGTTGCAGGGAATGATGAGGGAAGAAACAGGAAGAGCCAGCAGATC